TACCGATTCAGTAGTTCCCCGATTCCTAAATTCTCTGATTCCTTACTTTCTTCATTACTGATACGTAAACATGCCCTAAATGTACCAATCAATGGATCATGATGACCCAAAAAGTGTGATATTTTCATGTGACTAAATGTACATAATTGGACCCGTCATAACGATGAATTAATGTGTCATTATATTGTAAGCTTTCGGAATTGTGGGACAGAAAATAAAAAATAATAAAAAAAGAACAATAAAATGGTGACCATGAAAAATTGTTTTGTGGGATAAAGGAATATATCGTGAATCAGCAACAATTGAAAATAAAGTGCAAGTCAGCCCTTGAAGTTGTGTTGTGTGCAATTAAGCATATACTTGTGAAGCAGCAATGACATAAATTAGAGCACTTCCAGTGGCAAGGGGAAGCTTGGGCAGGAGAGGGCATAGGCCCGCGTGATGGCTCCAATGCTCAAGGGTAAGCCCGGGCAAGGCGTGGGCCCCATCAACCCGGGCAAGCCCACATGCAAATCCAGCCCGTGCTGCTGTCTGGGCAAGTGACGTAATTATGACGTCAGCAGCTAATTAAAATAATAAAAAAAGGAAATAAATACCAAAAAATTCAAATTTTTTTTAATTTATAAATACCTAGCCATATTCTTTACTTCCCACACCAGAACCCTAAACCCTATCAAAATTAATCGTTTATGTATAAAAATAATAAAAATAATTTGAAGTGAATAGTAATTGCCTTTTGCCATGGCAATGGGTGGAAACACACTTTGCCTTTAGCAAGAGCTGCCACTATTCACATGAATAGTAACAACCCTTGCATTGCCCTTGCTCTAAGAGCACTTCCACCCATTTGCCATGGCAAAGGGTAAGGGGAGGCAATGGTTGTTACTATTCACATGAATAGTACCAGCCCTTGCTAAAGGCTTGTTGTGTTTCCACCCATTGCCATGGCAACCCAAGGGCAACCACTATTCACATGAGATGTGAGGAGAGGAATTTGTATAGAGTTTTGGTGTGGAAAGTGAAGAATATGACTAAGTATTTATTATGATAAAAAATCTGATATTTTTAGTATTTTTTCAATTTTTTTCGTTGCTGACGTCAGCAAACCCAAGCAATAGCTCAGACTTTTCTTGCCTTAGAGCCTGCCCAAGTTTGTGGAGCCCACCAGCTGCCCGGGCTGCTGAAGCCCACTGGAATGTGGAAATGGGGCTTGGGCCCCCTCCTACCCTAGCCAAGGCTGGCCGCTGGAAGTGCCCTTAAATGCTGCAATAATGGGCATGGTAGATTTCATTTCAACCAATTCACAATTAATTTGTGTCAAGACTTAAAACCAGTAACTGAACTTAAATGGTTTGTTTGAGAATCTTGGATGACCAAAACAAGCTTACATGATTTTGAACAAAAACAATTAAGCTCATTTTCTGTTGCCCCGTGTTGCAAGTTTCTTTTTGGCTTAAATACACAAGTGCTCCTGAAAGTATGGTCAAATCTTATATTGTCTTCCGGATTTAACTAATGTTGTGTATCACACTCTGCCCTTCATAGTCAAGTTTGTCAAAACATACGTTAAAAATGTTGACATGATATGAAAGGGACCCATTGTTCTGCTACAATACATTTCACGTAAGTGCCATGTGTGCAAGAATAAGAATAAAATTATTTAACCATTAAAAAAATAAATATTTTATAAAAAAAAAAATTTAAAACTCCAATTTCCCATTTAGTAAAGTATTGAAGGTAATCTAACTTCACACAATGCTATGCGTTTACTTTTTTTTACATTAATATAAGTGATGGTCTCAAAGTGTTAAATTACAAGAATGAGGGCTTTCACACACACTAGTCTCAAAGTGTTACGGGTGTTTAAACTTGAGACCCCTCATTTGCAAGTCAAGATCATTTTTCACTAAGATAAATCCCATCGGACACTATGCATTTACATATAAAAGTAGTATAAAAAAATGTATTGCATGTGGCAAAACTCTATGGACTCTTTTTTTGTTAACATTACAACCTAGTTGTGGGCTTTAATTATTGGTCTCACTCATGCAGACAAAATCCAGAGCAAAATGGGTGAAGGTACCTTGGGGCAGGTTTTGGAATGCTGGGACAGAGCAAAAAAGGAAATTGTTGCCATAAAAATTGTTCCGGAGGGGTCAAGAAATACCGTGAAGCAGCAATGATCGAAATTGAAGTGCTGCAACAGCTTGGTAAACATGTTTTTTCAAAATTTTTACATCAATGGAGTGCTTGAAGAAGTTTTTTCTGAACTTTTAGCAATGTTAAATGGGTTCATTAATTCCTTGCAGTTGTGTGCAATTACGGAAGTGGTTTGACTATCGTAACCATATTTGTAATTTTTTGCTTGTAAATGGTCATAATTATGAGTTAAATTGGTTTTGTTTTTCTTTGTCAGAGCTGTTCAGAGGGTGCAGCCTCGCGAGTGAGTATCAGAGCTGTTCAGAAACTTCCTCGTCTTCAGGTTTGTGTTACATACTTGGTGGACTGTTAGAGCCATTTCATTTCATTTTTGTACTTCTAATGTTTGTTGCTCATTTTTCTTTTTCCAGAATCTTGTAATGCAGCATGTAGACCATTCCGCAGGGGACCTCATTCACCTCTTGCAGGGTCTCCTTAGGTACGACCCATCGGATAGGCTTTCAGCTCGGGAAACCCTGAGACATTCATTTTTCACGAAGGACAATCTTAGAAGATGAGTTTATTATTGTGTTTGTGTCTGCTGCTGAGTGAAGTTTACAATGTGGTTGGCCCGAAATCCTGAGAGGTGTCGTTAATAACATCCTCCTCATGAGATATATCCGAATGTACTGATGATTATTTGTTAACCGTGAGCGGCCTACACCCCGCTGGGCTGTCCCAGTTGCGCAACGCTACCTGCCTATGATTAATGTACAGAACTGACAGTTTGAAATAACTTTCCAGCCACCTTGTTCTTTGTTAAATTTTACCTGAATGAATCAAACAGTTCTGTGTGAGTAATAATTCTGCAAGCTCTGCTATATATACACATGGTTCTTCCATACACAACTTATACCAAATTATTTTCAGGGTATCAGTCAGGCCATTATACCAATCAATTAGGTCTTTAGTTGGTACTCGTTTATCTCTCCTTTCATTTCACCATATCCATTTTATCTAGAGATCTTCAGGAGAAACTACAATTAAATGCTTTTTCAAATAGCCAAATAAGAGAAACAAAAATCTTATTTTCCATGCATGAGGACAAGCTGAGAAGGCAAATCTCTGGTTTATTTTAGGCTAAAACTTTGACAAATTCAATATCGAGTTGCCTAACTTGCCTAACTTTGCAGAGAAAAGGGAAGATAAACACTCTTGATGGCGTACCAACATGTCAAGGAGGAACCTGAAGCAAACACATTGTATCTAGATACATGCTGCAACAATCATGTGTGGTAGTAAGTCATCTTTTCATACTACTGTATGTTTTAGTGACAACTCTTCAGTGAAATAAACCATTTTATGTTGAGATGTTCACAAGAAACTACCATTAAATGCATTTTCAAATAGCCAAAGATTATTACAACATCTCAGAGATATATCACTCTGTAATTATTATTATTATAAATATTTATGTTGCGGCAGGCATTGCAGATACAACTTCTTGCTCAACAGAAAACAAACAAAAAACTAGATTTAGAGCATAAATAAAATAAAGAGGCCATGAAAACTCGATGATGATGGAGGGATTAAGGGGAGTATGGTGTTGGAATAAGATACAGAGGAGTTTTCTTATAGACTGTGAGACCGTAAACTTCGGACATGTCCAATGTCTCAGCCAATTTACTGCCACCACTAGGCAACTTCCAGTCGAACCAAAACAAGATGTTGGCAAGCACATATTCAGCTGAAGCAACCCCAAAGGCGAGTCCAGGACACACCCTTCTCCCAGCGCCAAATGGGATGAGCTCAAACTCCTGACCTACAAAACCAACGGAGTTCTCCTCGAACCTCTCTGGCATAAACTCATCTGGCTTGTCCCATACTTTGGGGTCTCTTTGTATAGCGTATGCATTCACAAACACTTGTGTTTTCGCAGGTATATCGTAACCTCCCAATTTTACATCTGACATTGCTTCCCGAGGAAGTAAAAGAGGCGCTGGAGGGTGAAGTCTTAAATTTTCTTTGATCACACATGTCATGTATTTCATTTCCTTGATGTCACTCTCCTCTACATATCCCCTTTTCCCCGCCACTCTTCTTACCTCTTCTTGGACTTTCTTCATCACCCGTGGATTTTGCAAAAGCTCTGACATTAACCATATCGCTGCTGTCCAACTAGTATCACTTCCACCCACAAACATGTCCTATAATCATAAAATCAACAAGCCAAATCAATCTTCAGCCACATATATATTTATCAATGTGACTAAAGCTAGGGAGGGGGGAATATACATACCTGCAGAATTGCTTTGACATTGGAGGTAGTGAGCTCAATGTCAAGTGAGCCGTCCTTTTGAACGTCGAGGAGAATATCCACAATATCCTTCTCACGAGGCTTACCTTCTTTCTTTGCTGCCTTATGTTCGTCAATCAACTTATCGAAAAATTTATCAAATTCTAACCAAATTGATTTCAAATGTGCAAGGTAGCCTCTGGCACGGTCAATCCATTTCAAAGAAGGGAAGAAATCTCCAAAGCTGAAACTCATCAGCTGAGTCATCAACTCCTTTGTGGTCTCTCCAAACCAATTGTCTTCTTTGTCCTCAAACTTCTTTCCAAGAATGCACCTGCAGATGATGTTGTTGGAGGTTGACACCAGCAGCTCCCCAATATTAATGGGAGCTCCGTTTGCGCTGGCAGAGGCTTCGCGAATCTTGCTGACCAACTCTGCAACTTCCTCCACCCTTGCGTACTGAAACTGGTGCACTCTTTTGAGGCTCAGAAGCTCAAGAACACAAATTCTGCGAACTTGTTTCCAGTACTCCCCGAATGGGGAAAAAGTAATGTCATGGCCGTCATAGAACAATATACTTGGAGCCGTGGTTTGAGGCCGGCTGCAGAACACAATGTCTTGGGTCTTCATCACGTCCTTGGCCATCTCTGCAGATGAAACAATCAGCGTTGGAACTTTGCCAAAGTGCAGAAGCATAACATCCCCATACTTCTTCGAGAGAGCTTGAAGAGAGCGGTGTGGGAATGATCCTAGCTGGTGAAGGTTCCCAATCCAAGGCAACCTTGGTGGGGATGGTGGCAGTTTGAGTTTCTGGTTTTTCCCACTTGATGAGGATGATCTTGTAAGTGCAAACAAAATGAATATTGAAAGGAAGAGAAGAGGAAGCAGGAAAAGTAGGTGCTGCCACATTTGATTGAAAAATGAAAATACAGCCATTGCTTTAATTTTGGGTTGCCAGTTGAAATCTGAGGGCCGCCTTCTTCATCTTTATAGAGAAGTTGTCCAGCCTGCGCCAGAGGTTGGTTGTAAATTTTTACTGAGAGCTAGGGACAATAAGTTATTTCAATGTCGAGATAAATATTTGAGATATTTTCAAACACCTTTTCAAATCAACAAATTCAAGTGCTAATTTTCGACCACTCGAATTATTTGAGGACATGATTGAAATAAAATCCTATTGCACAAACGGGTATATTTCTTGATCCGACAAACTTTATGTCGACAGCCTTCTTATTTTTGCATTCTCTGTCCCACCATTCCAAAACCTAACCTTACATAGCATAATGAATGGCAAAAGTCACTTTTCGCCCTTGTACTTTCGTTCATGTGTTTTTCATTTCTGGTAATTTGATCTCTGTAGTTTGAGTTTCTGATATGACAAGAGGAGTCCACCTTCATGTGGGTCTTTGTCTTTCATGCAAGCACGGAAGTTTTTGATATGACACAACACAACACAGACAAAACGTGGAGGAAGAGCAGACATATTCTCTTCTTTTTTTCCTAAAAAATTAATTTTCATTTGATATATTATATGTTTATTGTATATTCATTTAATATTCTTTTTAAAAAATTATTTAGATAACTTTGGGTTTCTTAAGATAATTGGAAAATGTGAAACTCTAATTCTTAGGATTTTGCGTTTTTCATTAGAATCATGAATGTAATAGCCTTAGCCTTAGATTTTCAATTTTTTATATTAAAATTTGAATTGATATCATTTATTTATTTTGAGTGATAAGTTTTTATTTAACTTGAACATGTTAATTTTTAATTATTGAGTCTAGCACATAAGTGAAACAAAAAAATAATTGTGACTTACTATTTGATTTTTTTATTATTATTAAAAACTAAAATATTTAGAAAATATAAAAGGAAAAATAAAATAAAATAAAAGGAACCACTACCATCCCACCCAACCCCAGCCGCCACCCCATCTATTCCTTTTGTAGAAACTGATTTTCCCTTATATTATTTATAAGATCATTATACAATATATATAAAGTTTGTAGAGAATAATCTACAGTTACAACAAGCCATTATCATAAACATAAATATGGAGTTATGGCCTAATAACAACATAACTGACAACTGACCATTTCCTATCATTAGTAGGATTAACTATTGTAACTGAAATACTATTGTAACTCCCTAATACTCCCCCGCAAATCGAGCACACACAGCATAGCAAGATTTGAATGAAGAAACTACATAGTAATGGAGATGACGGCAGCAGTCGGTTGTAGTAGTCCAGTAAGGGGAACCAAAAAGAAGAACTCCAATCTCCAGAGTTGCAACAACAGCATGAGAGAAACAAAGTAAACATAACGCCCATTGAAAGGCAGGAAGTGAAGGAGCGCACAGGCTCATTGAAGAAAGGAATAAAATGATGGGCTGACATACAAGTCAAATGGACCTAGGAAACAACTTTAGGCACCTACGAAACATAACTCTACCTAGGAATCACCCTTTAGGTAGGATAAAGAGCATGCGGTAAGCGAGAAAAGAAGTAGCCATGTAGAAAAGAAAAAAAAGTTACACCCATAGGAAGAGAGGAAGTGGAAACAAAAGAAAATTTATCACATGGTAAGTAGAAAGGGATGTGTGCAACGAAAGCAGAAGGAATATTTGAAGGGAATAATGGGGTTAAGAGAGGGTGGCACAACAATAGGGGATAGGAGGTGAAACCAACTTGGGACACAAAGAAAAGAAAAAAGAGCATGGGCAAGTTTGAATTTCAAAGCAACATAGAAACAATAAAATAAGGTATGGGGAAGAAAACCACGTGGGAACAGAGAAGTGATAAAGAAAGGATCATCACAAGAGCATAGGGGCCCATAGAGATTAAAATAAAAAGAGATTATTGACCCAAAAAACAATAATAAGAAATAAAGAAAGAAACCAAGTGAGACAGAAATGAAAAGATAGTATGGGCAAAACACATAAAGAGAAAATCCTTTCAAAATAAAGATGGAAAAAGGAGAGAAAAAGAGGAGAAAATTGAACACTCATCAAAAGGAGAAAGTAGTCAAGAGAGGGAGAGAGAACACAAGATGCGAAGGAGCGCATGGGCTCATAGAAGGAAGGAAACTCAAGATGCCAGAAACAACCCATGACGAGGAGAGAGAAAACACAATTGAAAAGAAGAGAAGAAAACATCCCAATAATATAAAAGAATTATAAAGATACGAAGACAATACCAGTAACAGAGAATAAGAAAGGCAGCGCAAAAGAACAGCGAAAGA